TGCTCATATTTAACGGAACTTTGTTAACAGGTGTTAGTTCAAGGGACCACAAATGCAAGGAAATGAAAAGTTACAGACAAACGACAGCATAATTGACTAACATTTTAAGTAAATATACTCGTAGAATAATGACATTAATTATTTAAAATAAATTACATTTAATGGAATGTTGTTTGTTCGATTCTTATTTTACGAAATTCATCTTTAAAAACTTCATTTTGGTATTTATGAAAAAAGAATTTTAGTTAAAGACTTCAATAACTATTTTGTTTAATAAAATTATATTATATTGTTTAATGGTATTAAAGATATAATAAATACAGTAATTGCAAGTAGGTTTAATAGTACAAAGATCTAAACAAAGTACGCTACATTTTGATTTAAATTTACCTTCATAATAATAAAAAAATAGTATTTTAAAATTCCAATTCATTATATTTATATAATACGTTGATAATTATACATACTTCTTGTTTTTGCTTAGATATTTAGGACCAGAAGATCAACTGATTATTTAACTACGTGTAACGTTTTTTTAAACTCTGTTTTTTTAACACCAAAAGACACAACGACAATTAAAATATAAATCAAAACAATAACGAATTTTATATAATAACTATTTGATAAATTCAACTTTTGCACAACATCTAACAAGAACTTGCAATGTATTTTTAATTTGAAGAGCTTAATCCTAAAAGCCAACATTATGTAACTAATTACATTTTACGCGTTTTAAATGAAACGGCTATGTAAGCCGCTTAATGGTGCAACTACATTATTTCTCGTGCTACCATTCCAAAAAGAAGTGTTGGGTCTGCTTCCGACAAGGAGTACGTTAACTAGGTTTGACGTTTTCTTATATCATAGAAATTTGAAAGTATATATTAAAACGAATAATAAAATAAAATAGTAGATATTATTGTAAAATGGGAGGGGTGGGTGGGTATTGGGGTATGGGGTATGGGTGGGTCATGAATCATAATGGGTATTGGATGGGGTGTTGGTAAGGTTCCATTCCCATCACCCTTCTTCAATATCATACCCAAAGATTGTGCTCAATTAAAGGGAACAAACTCCTACCAACTAACATGCTCCCCAAAGTTGGTGGCTTATTAATTCCTTTTTAATGCTTATCACTTCATATATTTCCTTTTTTTTTTTTTACAAAATTATTTTATGATATTGTTTTGTGGTAACTTTACATATGTTATTTTTTTTTATCAGTTTTCATTATGGATTTATAGTTTTTTATTACGATACTGGTATAGTGATCTTATAATTAAGTGGGATTGTGAAATTATAGCGCACATATGAAGTAGCTATTTTTTTTGTTAAATTAGAAGGGTACTCGTACAATACAGTGAGATATATTTTGATTACTTTTTTCTCGTTTCCTTCTTCTCTTTCTTCCATAACGTGAGCTCGGAGAAGAAAGAGATAGGAGGGTCCTACGGAGAATGTGGTCAGAAATCCATAATAGAGTCCGACCACAACGACCGMATTGATTATCTTCATGCATAAGGATACTAGATTACCTAGTAGAAAAGATTTCAAAATCATCATAAACCTCCCTTTTTCTTTTCTAATTCAATGTTCTATTTTATTTTTTGTCAATGTCGATGTTATAATACGATTTTATGTGTTTTTAAAAAACAATAATGATTTTATTTTTAAATAAAATATAAATTTGAAGATATCATAAAAATTATATCAATGTTAATATCAAATCAACTATTTAAAAGTTCTCATTTTTATGTAAAATCTTTAATTTTTTTTTATTATAATTTAATTTAGATTTAATAATGAAGCCATTTATTTTTTGTTTAATAATATAATTTTTTTATAGAGAAAATAATTAAGTATTTTATTAAAACTCAATAATTATTCTAATTATATTTTAGAATTTTTATATTTAAAATGAGATGTTTATTTTCTATTTGATTATGTTTATCGGTAGTTAGTTAGCACGAATTTAAATATGAAGCTTTAATAAGTTGCATTTATGCATAACTTACTCGTAATCTTCAATTTTAAGTAAAATGCATAAAAAATGGTTTTGAAGAGTTTTTGTCAAATGCTTTATAATATAGTATAAATATAATTGTAATTTTAATATTATTATTATTATATAAGTAAAAGCAACAAAAACGTGAAGTAATTAATACAGGGTACAAACAATAATACAAAAAGTCACTGATAGAAAAAGCATGACCCTTGATTTTGGGGTTGGGGTTTAAGGGTTAGACGCCTTACTTTATATCTACTCACAAGATGGTCTATACAGATGAAATCGATTAATTGAAACTCATTTAAGACAAAGCAGTGTAAGTACTTTATAGTAGACATTATTCGTTGATTGTTTTTTAGGATGTACTAAACATGTTGACCGGTTTTTTGTTTTGACTATTTACATGTGGAACGAATTCAAGACTAGATTTTCTTTTAGATCTAGTTTCTTTAATGATTAATTTTCAAATATACCGACTGTGATCACACAAACTTCAGTTATATAAATAATCAATGTGTTGAGTGATATCTGATAACTTTGGTCAAAATTTTCAGTACATGTAATCTTTTGACAAACTTCCTAATGCCAACCCTCGAGTTCCCTAAGGTAGTTGTGAATTTCATTTCACTGCTATAACATTTAAATAAATGAATAAAAAGTTAATGACACGTTTTTTTTTAATAAATACGACATTGGGTGGTGGTAGTGACAACAATCGGGAGTGATAACATCTAAATTTAAAATTGAATTTTCTTTTAAATCTAATTAATAAATGCGATGATCACTCGAACTTCCTTAAAAGGTAATTCTTATACTGAATAATCTCTAATAATTTCATTCTATGTAATTATTTTAACAGATTTGCAAATCGAAGTTGTGAATTCATTTTACGAGTAAACTAGCTATCAATCGTTAAAGAGAATGGGGCAAAATTAAAAAAAAATGCATTTTCGACACGTAAGTATGTTTTATGGGCCGTTTACCCAAATGCTTACCCGATAAGCGCTTACCAATAGGAGTTAGCACTATAATTATTTTAGAAGCATAAGATTTTAGTACATCAAAACATATCGAATGCTACAATTTACTGGGTAAACGATTACCTGAGTAAGAGTCGTCATCCTCACTTACCGGGTAAGACTCTCCATCATTCTCATCGCTCTTATCCGGTAAGATTTTTGACCCTTCTCATGTTCATCCAATGAGGAAATGTATGCGTTAAACACTTACCAAGTAAGTGTTTAGTAAACGACCTCTTAATTTTCGCAAACAACACGGTATTACATTAACAAAAATCAAATTGGGCCCAGTGCATATGGCCCATTTTAAACGTAGCCCAGTAAGCAAATAACGTAATGCTACCAAAATATTTGGTCAAAAAACTCTTAATTATATTCACTAGATTTGTAATTTTTTATTTTATTAAACTTATATTTGTAATTTCAAGATATTAGAAAAAGAACGAGTATTAATACGAAAATCAGATTTTTTTAAAGAAAACGATATAAATCATGATTTTAATCGACTAGATCTATAAGATGGATTTATCGTCACGCATGCTAAACAAGTAAACATTTCTTTTAAAAAAAGACGTAGCCTTATGAGAGATGACAACGTTGGTGAACTCGAGCACGAGTCTCTTGCTCCAAACCTAAATAGAAACTGCTAAACAAACCTCCTATACATGCTAAATAATATGGGTGTACAAAATCCTAACAACCTGGCCAAAATCCATCCTAAATAATTCATTTGAAGTCATTCGATGTGTAAAATATTTAAATTGTTGGTATCCGGTTAGAATTATTTGAACCCAACTAAACTCAATGAAGATGAAACCCTTTTATCTGTCATACACACCTTTGCTAAATAGATATATCTGTTGCCTTTGATGTAGATGACTGTGTAAGATAACTAGTTAGTTTTTTCATAAATGTATCTTAATTGCACTGTAATTTCATTTTCTATTTGCAAGAATCTTTAACTTTCATTTTAGTGTTGGTCTTGTTTTTTCTTTGTTCCTCATATAGTATAAAAGGTCAATTTGGTAGTCATTCAACAGTACTCGCACCAATCCGTCTACTTCAAAATAGATTTTAATGGGTTGGGGTTTTTCAAACCATACTAGTTGGATTAAATTATTCAAAATGTCTTCGGTTGACCAATCCAACCATGTACAACAAGGAGCAGATCTATGAATAGGGATGATGATTTGCCCCGACCCGGTGGGGAACCCGGTTCACCCGACCCGAACGGGGACGGGGATTCCCAGCTAAAACGGGTCCCGGGACCGGGGATCCCCGGTAGAATCAAACCAGGGACGGGGGATGTTACTCAAATAGGAGTCGGGGATCCCCAGTAGAATCAAACTAAAGGAAACTATTTATGGGGTTTGACCAGGGTTTGACCGGAGATTGTTAGAGATTTAACCGGGGACGAGATGATATTCCCCGTACTCGCCGGGGACCGGGGCCAGGGGACGTTACTACAAACCGGGGCCGGGGATTACAAAACCCGCCCCATTCACGCCCCGTTGCCTATGCCTATCTATGAAGGCCTCTTCGGGTCCCTTGCATCCACTCAACCGATTTTCAAAGCATAATATTTTTGAGGTATAAAAGGTGTGCATACTAAATTTTTTATGGGATGTTTCGGGATATTAAAAAATATAAAAGTCATCAATTAAAAAACTGAAAAAATCCATTAAAATCAACAAAAAAAACTTCTTGAAATTAATTAAAAGATTTTTTTAAATAACTAAATTCAGTTAAAAACATATCAGACAAATTTATAGATGTTTTAAGGGACGCTATGTACAACCTTACTACATAAATAATTTGTTATAAATTCATAAATAATAATATCAACCCCCATATTTTTATTTTTCATTTTGATTCCAAATAAAATCTTAATTTTTGCGTGAGTCTGGCAGCGACACGTGTCCTATTTCCTTTTACATATTTCTTCCTGGATGATTTCTCCTGATTTTGCTTAATGCTCACAAAATTCATCGAAGCTCCTTAACAATGGCGATAACTGTATCTCCTCCAACGATTACATCATCATTCTCTCAACTTTCTTCACTTTCTCCCTTCCAATCTCCCCCATCACTATCATATCCATCTTTCTCCTCGTCTCCCACCATCACACGTCCCCTTAATTTATATCCAAACAGAAACAATCGAACTGTTGTTGTCCCAAAAGCTTCTTCCACCACCACTTTCTCCCCTGAAATCGCTGATGTACTCGGAGAAGTTAACATCTTCACCGCTTCCGGAGACTCCGTCATGTTCAACGAACTCTGGGATCAATCCGAGGTACTTTCGTATTTATGTAAATTATTGAACATCTCTGTGATAAGTTAATCAGTTAGGGATAATTTATTGTTTCCATATCAGAATTAGGTTAATCACTTTGTACTGTAAAACATTAAACCCTGCAATCCATGAACTTCTAAGAAGAAAAAATTTCTCGAAGCGATAAACATGAATCGATGCGAACCAGCCTCTCTATGGTTCATGTTTTCAAGCTGATTATTAGAAATCTACATTTTCATGTTTGTGGAAGTTTAATAATAAAAAAATTGGGACTAAGGGCAGAATTCACTTTGTACTGTACACCGAACAACATGAAGGTAACTAGAAGAGATCAGATTTACTCCTTGCAAGCATATCAAGACAACCAAGGGCAGGATTCGCTTGATTGATAAAGAAACCACAAACTGAAAGCGAAGATTTTACATCGCAGGCTTAAGGAAAGCAAACAATAATGATCAAAATGACCTTGAAACATGTCTAACCATTCAAGAGTTCATAGATTGATAGCTGTGGTGGCAAGAGATACAAGCCACTAGAAAGACCAGGAAATCATACCCAAGGGGTAAAAGCCATTAATACACCCGGTTATTCACTGACACTAACAAACATAGGATATTGACCACATGATCTTTAGGTTATCATGGCAAAGCCCAACCACCGGAAAGTAAACTTGATGATGACCCAAATGTGAATTGGCTTATACCAGAAAAAGGGCAAAAAAATATCGATGATGGCTTAATTTGAACCCCTGGAAACTTGTGAAACCCCTAGTGGATCTAAATCTACATTATGGAAAGAACTGAAACACGGGTAGTAGTAGGAAGGAATCCCCAAAATTACCTCTCTGTGCAGATGAATCTGAGAACTGACATTGGAATTTGGATCCTCCATTTCCTACTTCTTGCCAACGCCTCAATGATCATACGTTGGTTGAAAAATCCATCCCTCCCCTTGCTTCCAATGCTTGACTAAATTGATAGGCTTCGATAGACGATGTTGGGCCCAATGTGTAGAGGGTTCCATAAAGGTAATAGTGGGGTGTGGGTGTGTGTAGCGCCGAGAATAAGACAAAGAGAGGTGGTGGTGGTGTATATGTCTAGGTGGCAGAGGTAGGTATTAAGATACGTGAGGAGATCCCTCTGGACTTTGCCAGGTGATGGCTAACCCGTGGGTAGAATTTTTTACAACCAAGCCATGGATTTTGAATATATGAACAAATTGTGGAATGAACGTACGCATTTAGCAGTTACGCCGGCACTGCTGGTTTTGCTCATGACACTTCTACCTTCATAATTATGTCCAGGATCATACTTACAGCGATTCTTGTTGTCGAATGCATATTTGTTTAGTTCTTCAATTTCTCATATTGGTATCAGTTTCAATTGCATGAGTGTTTATTCTTTTGTAACATTTTCTTTACCACTCTTAGGGTATTGCTGTTGTTGCTCTTCTGAGGCATTTTGGATGCCCTTGCTGGTAATCGGTTTTAAGTTTGATCCGTTTCACTGATAAGTAGACACCAGGCTTCCCAAAATGTCCCCATTTATAATTTTAATTTTTTGGCATATATAGCTGGGAACTTGCTTCAACTCTCAAGGAATATAAAGCAAGATTTGAATCTGCTGGTGTGAAGCTAATTGCTATTGGTATTGGGGAACCTAAGAAAGCTCGTATCCTTGCTGAACGGGTATTCATTTTCTGTTTATTTGGCTGTAAACATAAGATGCTTCATTACAAGAATTGTGGAATTTTCTCATCTCTTCTGCTTGCTACTATATTTGTGTCCATCTTTGTTTTTAAGTTCAAATTTCCTTATATTCCAATTTTACAGGAAGAAAAACCGACTGCAAATTGAATGACATAACATAAGATTTGTGTTTTTGCCTTCATTGCAATCTCGTTAAGTAATGAAGCTTATTTTTTTTTATCATCACAGTTGCCATTTCCATTGGATATCCTCTACGCAGATCCTGAGCGCAAGGTGTTTTAGCTGTCAGGTGTCTTTAATCTTCTGAAGTTACTATCTCATTGTATGTCGTTAAAACTTTTGGGTATTCATGTATCTCAGGCATATGATGTCTTGGGTTTGTATTATGGAATCGGACGAACATTTTTCAACCCTGCCAGTGTAAGTAATACCATCCTTCATGACTCTTGAGTGCGACTTCAATTGTCGACATTCACTCCTTTTGGGGTAGAGGTCACCCCCTCAGTCCCTACTTTTGAGTGGGATTAATGGGTCAGTTTAGTTTGATTTATTTACTCCATTTGTCAAAAGAGGTCCGTTTGTCTCTCTGAAAAGCAAACAGCCTGCTTTTGAGCTTTGCAAGTGACATGGACATCTCCAACGTTCGATCAAAAGCTAACTATTAAGAGCTGTTTCACAAATAAGTGAAATTAGTATGAGTTTGAGTTTGATTAGTACTGTGTTTGACATCAAAAGCACACTTTGCACAACTGGTCACGGAAACAACCGCTTTACTTTTCGAGATATAGGTTAGGACATAGTGGGGTTGTTTGGTTTGGTTTGGTTTGGTTTTTATCAAATCATGTGATGCAAAATGACAGGCAAAGGTATTATCAAGATCAAGATTTGAGGCTCTACAAAAAGCTGTAAAGAATTACACCATTGAAGCGACCCCAGATGACAGGGGAAGCGTCTTGCAACAGGTTCAATCTAAAATGACCCCAGTTGTTCCTTAAAAGCAGTATAGGTATGAGGGTTGAACCATATACTACTGCTGGGCCAAAATGACCCTTCAGTTGTTGTGGTTGGTACTCATTTTTCCTTCTGTTGTTAGATATATAATATAATACAATGCATTCATGCATAGTGTAACTGTATTGGTTGGTTTGTAGGGAGGGATGTTTGTGTTTAAAGGTAAAGAGTTGTTGTATGCATGGAAGGATGAAGGCACAGGCGATCATGCTCCTCTAGATGACATCTTCAATATATGCTGCTCCACCAAAGTAGAGATTGCATGAAGAATACCATTTCTCATCTTCCACAGGTTCCTTTCTTTAGTCATCGATTTGATTTCTTCATATATATATATATATATATATATATATATATATATATAGCATAATGGTATATAGGGCTGGGTTTTGGTGAGAATTGAAGTTACGGTAAGAAGGGTAAACAGAGATTGCCACCCTTGAATCAATCCTATTCTCACATGATCCTTCAAGAATTTAACAATATAATCGATCCTATTCTCAAAGCCATATCTTGGTTGTGTCGGGAAACATTTAACAATATAATTAATGTTGAAATCTACAGTATTGAAAAATTGTTTTGACATGAAATGGATATATCTGACCGACTCAAATTTATGAGATGATAAACGTTGAATGTATTTTTTCTATTGAATGTTTTTATTAATTGTTTTTGAATATATTTATATTAATTGTTTTCCAATTTTGGAGAAATTATGAAAAAAGGCAGGCCTGTAACAGTTTGTAAGATATATTTAAAAGTTAGGTGATATGGATTATGATATCTTTTGTCGATGGAACATTCATGACAAGAAAAAGAATTGATTTTGTTCACGTTATTCACATTCACACGTAGAATTGGTTTGGATGTATTTATTGCATATTGGTTTATTATTATTTATTGCATATTGGTTTATTATTATTTATTCAATTATGTGTATGTCGATAATCTATCAAAAAATTTCCTCGATAATTCGTCAAAACTTTTCATCGATAATACTTCATAACAGTTAAGTTCAACCAAGGTAGGTGCTTTCTTGGCGAGGGAGCAGTAGATCGTCAATGGAAGAGCCATGTCGGTAAACTTCTATTACATCCATTGAAAATATGTCGTAAAATGTAATTTCGGTCCATCAAGATTTTGAATCCAAAATATAATAATTGATTGGCAATGTATGTATAATGGCAGATTAAATGAGAATTAGAAAAATGTTACAAACCCATGAGAACCGATTTTAAAATAATTTTTTATATGATTTTTTTTCATCAAATACTAGAATTTAAAATATTTTGCTTAACATATATTTGTTCCATAATGTGATAGTTTCACATGTATTTGTTTCACCACACAAATATTTTTTATGTAAAATTTTCATTTCACCAAGTGAAATGAAAAAAAAAGTTTCACATGCAATTTTTTCGTAAGGTGAATACAAACACATGTGAAATAATATCTTAAGTCATAGTTTTAATGTAAAAAGATCATATGAAAAATATTTTATATCGGTTCTCAAGACTATAACATTTTTTGTGATTCTCATTTGATTATCACCCATATATATAGGGGTTTAATCATTTGAGAGCCCCACTAAATTGCGATAACCTTGAGAACTAGTGTATCATGTATTATTTCACGTGATATTTTTTTATCTATGACTTGGATTTAATGTATTAATTAACATATATTTGTTTCTCAACGCATTTATTTCATATGTATTCGTTTCAGAATGTGAAACTTTTTAGTTGTAGTTTTTGTTTCATAAACACATAAAAAGTGTTCACATTGTGAAATGAATATATGTTAATCAATATACTAAATCCAAACATAGATGGAAAAAAATCACATAAAATAGCACAAGATGCACTAATTCTCAAGGTTATCACAATTTCATGGGTTCTCAACAAAAAACCTCCTATATGTGTGTTTT